ATACTTAGTGCTGGGTAAAGTACTGCATTCAAGGACTCATAAGTACTTCACAATGAGTACCTCCACAAAGTACTCATACGTATCAGAGTATAAGTACTTATATGAATAATACCCAAAGCAAATGAGTACTTTTACAAAGAGAGTATTCGTGAAAAAATTAAGTAACGAGTATAAATATTTTAAATAATTCTAGATAGTGAATCACGGTTAGAAAGAAGGAATTATAGTAATTAGTAATAGTAAGTCAGTAAGCAACAATCAAAACTGAGAATATAACTTATATACTATCACTTTTGCATGTTATTGATAAAGTAAAGTAATAAAGGTATTAGGTATAACGGTATAATGGCTAAAGAATCTTATAAAATAAGTTATATCGATTAAGATTAAAAATAATTTATGCTAAACAATTCCGAATTAATTAAAAAATGAACAGAAATTCCTTTCTCATTTTGATTTAATAATAACCATCGAAATATTCTTCTTACCCAACTTAACATCTTCATTAACTTTTCTAGCAATTACTGGCACTGGTGGATACAGTCTTAAAGTTTCCAGAATAACCCTTTCCAAATATTTCATTTGGGTTGTATCATTAAATGTAACAGATCTGTCCATATTGTCTTGAAAAATTTGTTTTAATTCTTCATACACTTTTTTCTGAATATCTTTGTGGATCCCAAGTAGACAGAGGACGAAGCTGGAAGCCGCAGCTGTAGTGTCGTGACCCTAAAATAATTTTAAATTGACTATATACAGGGTGTTATTGAAATACACGTACATATTAAAACTGGGTATTGCGCAGATCCCCACTGAATGTAGAAAAATATTATTTTTTTAAAAATACCCCTTATTAAGGGAGTTATTAATTTTTGAAAATTAATTCTAAAACAAACGTACTTCACTGATATGTTGAGGATGACCTATATAAATTAGGTTTATTTACCTATTTTAAACATCAACAGTAATTAATATGCAAGTTTTTGTCAGATGATAAGAAAACTAGTCTTGTAAGAAATAACCATGTTGCCAAGATTTTCGAATTAATTTCTATTTCCGAAGACTGGTTTTTACTACCCTCGTTATCAAAAAACTAGAATATTTGATAAATGATTGTTTTTAAACTATACATTTTTGAAACTATAGATTATTAAAATTTTAGTTGATTTACGAATCTGGCTAACACGAGCGCGTCATTTCCAAGTTGGTAAAAAGTGTTGTTACGATTACTTTTAAATATTTTTTTACGATGCCACTATTTACGAATATTGAACTAACGGATATAGTGCTGGTTTATGGGGCAGCTGGAGAAAATTCTCGGCAAGCACAAATCCTGTATCGCGAACGGTTTACAAATCGGAGAATTCCGGACTGTCGTACGTTTATTTCAACTGTTCAGCATCTAAGAGACCATGGAAAATTTGAGAGTGTCAATGCAGATCGAGGGAGAACAAGAACACAAAGAACATTGGCGGCCGAAGAAGAAATATTGGAAGCTGTTGAAAACCGGCCTCAATTAAGTTGTAGAAGACTAGGTCTTGAAATTGGAGTGTCCTCATTTGTTGTGTGGCGGACACTTAAAGAACAAGGTTTACATCCTTATCACATCCAAAAAGTCCAGGCCTTATATCCAGGTGATGAAGAAAAGAGAGTGGAGTTTTGTGAATGGATGATTCAAAAATGTGTTGATATTCCTGATTTTCTAAAAATATTATTGTATACTGACGAGGCTTCATTCACTCGTGATGGCGTGTTCAATATGCACAATACGCATATTTGGAGTGATGAAAATCCTCACGCCATTAGGGAAACTGGGCATCAAAAAAAATTTTCAATAAATGTTTGGGCTGGCATAATAGATCAGTATTTAATCGGGCCTTATGTTCTCCCGAACAGATTAAATGGGCCAGGATATCTCCACTTTTTAGAAGATATTTTGCCAGTACTCCTAGAAGAGATACCGTTACAATTAAGGCAACGGATGTGGTACCTACTAGATGGCGCTCCTCCTCACTTTGATTTAAACGTACGGCAGTTTTTGAACATTAGATTTCCTCAAAAGTGGATAGGCAGAAATGGACCTACTAAGTGGCCTCCGAGATCTCCGGACTTAAATCCATGCGATTTCTTTTTGTGGGGTCACATGAAACAACTGGTTTATAATGAACCTATTAATAGTGTTGAACAATTAACCAATAAAGTTAATGCGGTAGCCGAGGAACTACGACAAAATCCAAGACTAATTTCTAATGTTCAAAGTTCTTTGGAAAGACGATTGCAAGTGTGTGTAAATAATAATGGACGGCATTTTGAACAATTACTGTAATAAACTTTATTTTGAATTAATTGGTTTTGCTACGGCAACAGTGCAATTTCTATGGGTAAGTTCAATTTCGATTTATTTTACTTCTTTAAATATGGAAACTAGTAGGTCGGAAAAGGGGACTCTTCCCCAATATTTAAATTTTAGAATTTGAAGTTAAAATTGGTGCCAATCGTTTTTGGTCATTACATACTATTCCCCATTTTAATATGTACGTGTATTTCAATAACACCCTGTATAATATAATGTTATAGCGTTTACTTTGATAATTAATAAATAAAATTAACATTGATTGACTAAAATATCTTTTGTGATTATTTAAATCTTATTATTTAACCTACTGCTCTATGAAATACCTTGTATATTGAAAAAATGTCAGTCATGTCCTTGATTAAAAAAAAATATTTAACGAGGTATTATAATTTATAGAATTCGTATATTTGTTCCAACACAAAGATAGCCGAAATGGAATAAATACATTTTAATAAATATTTTATTTCTATTTTATTCCGGTTTTGTTTTCATTACTAGAGCTAGGAATATATGCAAAACGTCATATTTTGCATATGTTGCATATATATACAATTTTTGATTTTGAATGCATATATTGACATTTTGTTAATTTTTTGGCATATATCTGACGTACTAATTGGCTGGACATATTAAAATTATGAGTTTTGGACCAAAATAATATTTTGTGAAATGCCTTTACAGGTCGATTTCCTAAAATTTTGAAGGATTAACTTTTCCCTGTAATAAATTACGGTTAATGGTGTAGGTACTTGAGAGGATTAAATTATAAACACCCTCCCTAAACCAACAAATTTTGCTTAATATCCTTTTAGGTAGTTGTATTAATATCTTCAAATTTCTAAATGACTCAGTTTACTTTCAACTTCATTTCAGTCTTTATTGTTGTGTTAACCAGAGGGAAAAATGGCAAAATTAATTGAGTCCTGGGTAAAATCTTATTCAGATTTTGTTGTAGAAGGTGATAACCAGGTGTTTTGTAAAACATGTTCTAAAATTGTAAGTATTTTTTTATTTTATATTTTATTTTGACCTTTCACAATGGTAAATCAAACGACAGTAAAATATTGTTTCAACTCACAGTTAAAAAAAAAGTAGGGCAACTTTACAACGTACGCATTTATTTAATTTAATTAAAACTTCAACATCTACAGGAATTTATTTGTTTTAGATTCCATGTAAAAAAAGTTTCAAATCGATCGAAAACACCCTCACATATAGCAAAGCAGAAATCTAAAGACACTCGCAGACAAAGTCAACTTCCCTTGAAACAATATTTAGAATCTGGATCGTCTAGAAGTGAACAAGCTATTTTTAATGAAGATTTATGCAAAGCTTTAGTGACTTCGAATATCCCTTTAATACGATTAAATAATCCAAATCTCCGATCATTTTTGCAAAAATACTGTAAATTTAATATTCCAGAGCAAAGTATATTACGCAAACGTGGTGTTGACAGTTTGTACATTGAGACTCGTGAAAAAATTCGTGAGATTACCGTTGGAAACTATTTCTACATTATTGTGGATGAAACAACAGACTCTTGTGGTCGATATATAGCCCATTTAATGATAGGTTCATTACGCGAAGAAATGCAAATTGGTCCATATCTAATCGCTTCAAAGCAATTAGATAAAACAGAGTTGCAGAAGAAATTAGGTCTAACTTTCCTTTAATAAATGATTTAATTAGTAATCTAAAAAAAATATTTCCTAAAGCTCCTCTAAGAACTTAATTGTACAAAGAAAAATTTCCTGAATTACAGATGCCACCGGAACCTGTGATTACTGGGTGGGGTACCTGGCTTAAAGCTGCCTTTTTTTACGCAGACAATTATGAAAAAATTAAAGAAATCATATTTGATTTTGAAGATTCATCTAAGGGAATATCTAATACAAAGAAGTTGTTTCAAAATCACATATTACCAAAGCAATTAGTGTTTTTAAAAAATTATGCATTTGTACTAAAAATTATATTAGATTTAGAACAAAAAAATTTACCTTTGGTGACATCCGTAAATTTAATTAAGACGATTGAATCAGAGTGTAAAAATGTCCAGGGCGATATTGGAAAAACGATTTTTCATAAATTTTCAAATATAATTTTAAAAAATGAAGGATTTATTGTTTTAAGAAACCTTGCTAATATTTTTTCTGGTAACTTTGAAGATACTAATACTATTCATCCAGATATTTCAGGAAAATTTAAGTTTGCACCTATTACTTCTGTAGATGTCGAAAGGAGCTTTTCTTTGTACAAGTACATACTTACTGATAGAAGACAATCATTTAATACAGATAATTTAGAAAAACATCTAATTGTCCATTCGTTTTATAACAATGTTGATTTGTAAATAAAATTAGTTAATAATTAAATAATTATTAAGTATTATATTAGGTATTGTAAAATAAAACAAATAATAAATATTAATGAACTATTTCGATCAAATAACAAATTACTCTTATTGCATATGCTCTGCATATTTTTTCAATTTTTTACGCATATATTGAAGTATTTTGCGGCATATATATGCGCATATTTAACTACTTTTTGGGTGCATATATTCCTAGGTCTATTCATTACTTTTTATTTATTATTTTTGGTATATTTCTTTAATTCTGTTTTATTTATTTTCTTATTTACTTACCTCAAACATTATAGTATTTACTTCTTCTTTTATTTCTTCATCACTAAGGTTATTTCCTCTGGTTTGACTAGCTTCTATAAGGAAATCGAGAAAAGCCAATCTCTTTTTCTCTCCTAAAAGTTTTTAAACATAATAAGTAAATATGTCAAAATATTTTTTTTTTCAGGCAGTTAGAAGAAGAAAATATTGAATATCACCTATAGCTTATTGATTACTAAGTTTTTGGTAGGCAGTTTTTATTTTTTGATAGATTTATGAATCTTTTTAAATATTAAGTAACTGTTTTTACAAGGCTCATGAGATATATTATATGTTTTACAAATTTGAAGTTTCTATTAAAAAAATTCCTTATATAACTTACCAACATCATTTTCATCGTTTTCATCTAAATCATCTCTTATGTAATTATTCATAATCGAATTTTCAATAATGTGCCCTTTCGTTTCATCAAATTTAGTTTTTACTGCCTCTGTATATAAACTTGATTCACCTTTAGCTGCTCTGTCAAAGTAGTCTTCCTTTTTCCTTTTGATAACCTGTTAATATAATTTTGAATAAACGTTAAGAGTTTGAAGAAACAGTTAAATTTTAGTTTGTATTCACAACAATAGCTATTTGTGTATCAAAAGCGAAAAGTGATACTTTGCCGCCTGAGACAGAACGGCAATCTGTCGAAAGTGACAACGAACTTTTTGCTTAAAATGCACACAGGATTTTTTCTACGATCACACTTTTTTAAAATTGAAAATTTGTTATAAGTAGTGTATAATGTGGGGCCCATATCTACGTTATTCGTGAAAAAACGAGTTGATATTTAAAGTCAATGTCAACTTGGTTAATTACAGAAAAAATATCAAACTAGGTACAAATAACTTCAAAATCATTTATTAAAAGAAATATTATTATACTATATCTACAGCTACAAAGCTGTCAAGTTTACCGCTCGACGAACGACAAAGTTGTCACTTAACATCAACTTTGCATTTAAATCCCGGTGAAAATTACATTTTACAGGTGTTTCTATTTTTTTTTAGAATATGTCCCAAAAACTGCATAGTATATAAAAAATCCACCAGATGTCGGTAGAAGGTGAAGTACCTCTTAGACTACCTAGTCTAAGAAGTACCTCAAATGAAAACAAATAATGAGTGCGAACTGTCAGAAAAATTCAGTTAATTTTATCTTTATCGAGTAAAAAATACGTATGTATCCAAATTTTCTAAAATAATGATAATTTATTAATGTCTACTAATTATACTCTATATAATAAACGAAATGGAAAGTGAAAACGAGAAGAAAAATACTATACTACATACTTATAACAATAACCACCCATCAAAGCAAAGTGAAAACATTACTATTTTTCATCATTTTTTATGAACAAGACAACAATAATTAAAAAAGGAAAATAGGTGTATTATTTTCTACAAAAATGTAAATATTGTTGAAATGGATTTTGAAAAAATAAGTGTTAAGTGCCATTTTGATGCTATGTTTACAGAAGAGTAGGTATTAAATTATAACTGCCTCATTTTAGATAATTAATAAACACATTCCAAAGATACCTGCTTATTTTGTTGGCAGGCTTAAACAATTTCACATGGCGGGATCTCCTAATTGCAATAAAATGTGGTTCTTACAAGGCAAATTGATTAAAATGGTAGGTACAAAAATGATCTGTAATGATCTGTAATAAACTTTTTATTATATATAAACGCAGAGGATTGTTTTCAATAGAACCATTAACTTATACTACTTTAATTTACAATTTACAAAATAAATCAAAGGTTTTTAGGTGTAACTACACACAGATTGATAAAGAAAAACGAAGGAAAGGTAGATCTTTTCAAGTGTGGAAGTTTTATTAGTATTCGCCATTATAAATGTAAAAAAGGACAAAATATTATCAATCATTGCATTCTTGTTTACATTTGTAATATACGGATGATGTCTTTAAAGCCGAACTGCCAGGGGCGTGCCGTCCATGGGTGCAATGTGTGCAATGCACACAGGCAGCCAAAATTTAGGGCCACAGCAATGGTCTCTTCTTGCCGAAAGCGCGCACCGACTAGACTGGCTAAAAAGTAAGGCGCTAGCTTTATTGTAATAAAAATGTCTACTGTTTTAAAATGTCGCACGTGGACCTTAACAAACAAGGGGCGGCAGCCGGCCCCGGCAAGATATGACGATTTAATTACCCACTTCACTTATCCACAAACCACAAACGACCGGCCGGCGGTAGTCGGTAGTAATGATCAAAGTCAAAAACAGGCGACTGCCGAGTGCCCTTTGATAGCGTTCGTTAGGCGGCCGCATCAAATGGTGCGGTGGACAAAATATGAGAAAATTATTATTTTTTATCATTTCAAAATGGTAATGTTTACTTTGTCGGCTACCCCTACCTACATTAAAAATAATATAAAAGAAAAGGTTCATAAAAATGCATCTGCATTACTATTGTTTTCTTCATCTCAATAACATAAATAATATTTATTTACTTAACTGATTTGATTTCTATTTCTGATTTTGATTTGATTGATAATTGATAACTGATATTGTATTTGTATTGTATCTTATGTAATGCAATCGTGAAAAGTGAAAACTGTGGCTATGAAAGATGGCAAGTAATTGTAATTAATTAGTATTATTAGCAATTTTATTTATATTCTATTTTAATTTTTGTTATTATTCAGTGAAATTTATTATAATAACTAACCATTCTTAAGATTTTTTATTTTTGATTTTTGGCATAATAAATATTATTGAAAATTGAAACTTAATTTAATTTCAAACAAATTAATAATTAATTTAGTGTAGGTAGGTATATTAATTCTTATTTTAACCTATATAAATTTTTATTTTGACTAAGGAATACAGGAATAATGGATTAATAGATATTTATGTATGTGTTTATTATATTCGCATGTTAGAAACAAATACTTTTAACTTTTAATTTTATAAAAATATTGGCCTAAACAATTTCAATAGTAGAATAGTATTTTTTAATATAATCATTATTTAATCTTCTCATTCATCAAAAATTAAAAAAATTGACAATAAACTTTGTAAATTGTAATTTTTTGTATATACAGTATAAATATAAAAGGCCTTTACAAAAACATACCACATATTCCTTAGACCAAAATAAGTCGATTTAAGTAAAATTACTTTTGTACAAAGTTGCTTCGTTTGGAGGTTCAGAGGGCCTTGAAGTTACAACTTTTAAATCGTTTTTCCCATATAAATTTAAAACGGCATATGCGATTTTGCTGAAATTTGGTATATTGGTAGAGTTTTATATGGCAAAAAAAATGATATTAAAATTTTGTCCGATAATAATACATAGGCGTAGAACTTGATTTTTTAAATAATTAAACCTTTAAAAATTCTACGCCAATGGAAGAAAAGGAGTTTGAGTATGAAATTTAGATTGCGCAACTCATTTACTTTAAAAAAGGTACTCCTGATAAGACTCGATTACTCTCATGGTTTTGACGAAATTTGCATTTCAGTAATTTTAGAACATAAAATTATTAAAATACAAACTTTGTCAAAACCATGAGAGTAAATCGAGTATTATCAAGGGTACTTTTTTGTAGTAAATGAGTACCCAGTCCAAATTTCATACTCAAACCCCTTTTCTGCCATTGGCGTAGAATTTTTAAAGGTGCAATTATTTAAAAAATCAAGTTCTACGCCTATGTTTTATTATCGGACAAAATTTTATACGATGAAAAACATGAAAATGTACTTTTTTCATATCTTCTTCAACACCTCTAATCGAAACTTTTAACAAAAATACTCGATTCTTGGCATGTACGATTTTTTGAGGAATATTAATTATTTGCCTGCAATACGTATACAAAAACATTTATTGTTGGTTTCCATAGTTTCATCTAAATAAAAATATTGTCAAGTTTTAACACCTAATCTCTTGTTAACGATTGAAAGTGTTCTATCTGACTCAATAATTAAAAAAACAAATGCGTGGTTTATTAATATGGCTGTACAATATACCAATGCAGAATATACCGATATGTTACTGACATTAGGATTTTGTGAAGGAAATGCTCGAGAGAGTGCCAGGGTGTACTCTGAAAGGTTTCCAAATCGTCGTGTACCTAGCCACCTAACTTTTGCTGCTGTTGAGAGACGTCTTCGGGAGACCGGTTCCTTTGCTCCCAACACTGCTGATAATGGAATAGAAAGTTTTGTAAGGATTCCTGAAGTTGAAGAAGACATTTTAGAACGTGTTGAAGAAGATCCAGAATTAAGCACCAGACGAATTGGAAGGGAACTAGAAGTAAGTAAATATGTCATTCATAAAAAGCTTAGAGAACAATTGTTTTATCCATACCATAAGAAGCCAGTACAAGAATTATTAGTCCATGTTCCTCAAATTCGTTTGGGTTTTTGTCGATTTGTTAATATGCAAAGAGAAAGAGATCCAAACTTTGTCAAGAAGGTTCTCTTTACCGATGAAGCGGGTTTTACAAGAAGAGATATAACTAATACCCATAATGAACATGTTTATGCCGTTGAAAATCCACATGCAATAAAGGTAAACCATTTTCAGCACGAATTCAAAATTAATGTGTGGGCTGGAATAATTGGTAATTTCATTGTTGGTCCTGTCATACTTCCACGAAGATTAACTGGAGAAAATTATTTGGATTTTCTACAAAATACGTTGCCAAAATTGTTTATGCAAGATGGAGCTCCACCACATTTTTCTTTAAACGTTAGGAACCACTTGAATGAACAATATTCACACAAATGGATAGGAAGAGGTAATGACGCACCTGTAAACTAGCCACCACGTTCCCCAGACGTAACACCGATGGATTACTTTTTATGGTGACATCTGAAATCTACAGTTTACAGGGAACCTGTAGAAAATGAGGAACAACTCTGGCAACGTATTCAAGATGCAATAAACAATCTTAGAGTGATGAAGAAGTTATGGAAAGGATACATTTTAATTTTATTCGACGTATAAATTTTTGTATGCGTGAAAATGGTGAACATTTTGAACAATTTTTGTAAAATCTCTATTTTGATTATGTTGTAAATAAATATTTTTGTGAAACCTATACACTCTAAATTATTAAAACAGAAATTTAGCGAAAACCATGAGAGTAATCGAGTCTTATCAAGAGTACCTTTTTTAAAGTAAATGAGTTGCGCAATCTAAATTTCATACTCAAACTCCTTTTCTTACATTGGCGTAGAATTTTTAAAGGTGCAATTATTTAAAAAAATTAAGTTCTACGCCTATGTATTATTATCGGACAAAATTTTAATACCATTTTTTTTGCCACATAAAACTCTACCAATATACCAAATTTCAGCAAAATCGCATATGCCGTTTTAAATTTATATGGGAAAAACGATTTAAAAATTGTAACTTCAAGGCCCTCTGGAGCCCAAACGAAGCAACTTTGTACTAAGGTAATTTTACTTAAATCGACTTATTTTGGTCTAAGGAATATGTGGTATGTTTTTGTAAAGACCTTTTACAGACACCCTGTATATC